AGAAGAAGTGGACCGATATTGCCTATCTTAAGACCAGACCTTGGATTAATATAAATATTGGAATATGTGAAATTTGAAGACAATCGGACACCTACATCACATTTTATAAGATTTGTAATTATTCAAAATTTTGACCCTTTGTGGGGGAGGTACTTGATAGAGTGGACCGATATTGTCCATTTTCGCACCTGACCTAGCACTGACCCAAATATTAGGTTTTGCAAAGTTGGAGCAAAATCGAATTTTACTTTCTCTTTCTGTGCAGTAAAATATGTATATATTTTTTTTTTTTGTTGATCATTTCTACATTTTGTGCGGGAGGTAAAAAAGAGTGGATCGATATTGCACATCTCCGGGTGTAGCAAGTTTGAATCACATCGGATACTCCCTACGATCATTTTCGTGCGCACCGGCCAGCCAGACAGACAGACAGACGAACGGATACCCCTAGTTGACTCCAAATGTCCTGAAACGAATTTGGTCGAAAGAGACCTAGGGTTTCAAACAGTTATTTCCTAAGGTGTGAAAATCGGCAATATTGACCCATTCCATCAAGTACCTGCCCCAAAAAGGGTGAACATTTTAAAATATGAAACGAGAGTCCTACTGTCTTCAAATTCCACACGTCCCAAGATTTTATTAACAAAACACCCAGTGTAGATGTTGTTTATCGATCCACTTCTTCTGGCCCTCCCCCACAAAGGTATCAACATTTTTAACAACTATGAAGTTTATAAAACGCAATATGAGCATTCATTTATTGTCAAATTCTATCTACACAAGATATGTTGTGTAGAAGGTAGATATCGGCCCAATTTTTCTGGGTACCACCAACACACACACAAAGAGTCAAAAATTTGGAAAAAAAAAGAATCATTATTAAAATACAAATTCAGCATCTAATTCACAATTTCACACATCCCAATATGTTTACTAAAAGATGGACTGGTGTAAAAATTGAATATATACGACCACTCCTTCTGGCACCTCCCCTACAAACGGTCAAAATTTAGAATTTTAGAAGCGAAATAAGAATCTGATTGCTTTCAAATTTCACACATCCCAATACTTTTATTAACACAATATCTGGTGTGGAGATGGGATATATCGGTTCATGCATTCATATAAAAAAGGATCTACATTTTTAATAACTATGAAATTCATAAAACGTGAAATTAGCATCCGATTATGCACATACTAATATTTCTATTAACACAAGACCAGGTGTGAAGATGGGCTATACCGGAACACTCCTTCTGGTACCTCCCTCATAACGGGTCAAAGATTTGAATAATTATATCTCGAAATTAGCATCCCATTTTCTTCAAATTTAACATATCCCAATATTTTTTTGAACACAAGATCTGGTGTGGATATGGGATATATCGGTTCACGCCTTCTGGTACTTTCCCCACAAAGGGTCAAGATTTTGAAAAACTATAACATGTGAAACAAGTCAGCAATTTTTTTCTAACTTGATTTCTCTCAACCAGAAATTTGATGTGAATTTGGAATTTTTCGGCTTAGTCCTTCTGGTACCTCCCTTAGAGTTGTGTCAATCTAGTTCAAAGTTCATTACACCAGTTTCTAAACGTATGAGTGATTTAATATATTTTATATCACTCATACGCAGCGTTTTCATACAAACAACTGAAGTCCGATGGAACTAGATAAGACACTAGTTCGTTCGATGGAACTAGAGAAGCACATCTCTAACATCCCTCCCAAGGGATCAACATTTTGAATAATTATAACCCTTATAATATTCGAAACAAATCATGGAACTTCATAAATCTCAATATTTCTGTGGACCATCTCGGTCCGACCCTTGTGGTTAGACTGGTGACTAATTATTATTCCTGTAAAATTGTAAATGAGTGTTCGATACTCTTTAATATTTGGATAACCCAATATTATTGTCAATATTAGATGAAGTGGAATACTTCGATCTCCTCTCCAAAAATCTATCTCCAAAAATTATCAAATATATCATATAAAGTGAAGAAAGAGGTAGCTATAATCCAAATCTGGTAAGTTATAATATTTATATCAAACTTAGGTAAGATACGAAATGGAGAGTATTAGACCTCTTCTTCAGAATCTCCTCCATAAAAGGTCGAAAGTTTGAATAATTATAATGCAAGTAAAAATATATGTTTAAACAAACGAATATTGAGTGTATACTTCTGTCGGCAAAACCGACTGATATTTTTAACTTGATTTATACGATTTTAAACATTGATGGTTTTCTTAACATTTGACAATATTAAACTGCACCAACCTCCAAACACCACCCTTACGATAATAACAAAAACACAGAGGATATTCTAAAATCAACTATTTTAAATAATTCTTAAATGCACGAATTTAATTCATTTAATTTTAATGCATGCATGTTCCCACAAATTTAGAATTTTAATAATTAAAAACACCAAAAAAAATCAAAACCAATTTTATGTCACAAAACTTCCTTTTACAATTTTTGCACGCCATTTAACGGAATTTCCTAATAGTTTGGAACTTTATAAATGAAAAAATCTATGTATTTCCCGATTTCCAAAAGAAACGTATATTACAATTCCAGTTCTTTACTAGATATTTTTGAGTTCTCTTGAATATTCCGTATTAATATCCCCCCCTACCAAAAAATTCCTAGGCACCAGTCGTGTTGGTCTTCCCAGCAATCCGAGTAGTCGCAAAAGTTCCGTTTTCGATTTGTCACAACAACAGCAACAATTACCCATGGGTTTGGGCAACGCGGCAACAAGTCCACCCTCCGACGATGAGTCCAAAACAAACTTTCCACCCCGCTGGAAGGGTAGCGGTGGCAATATGTTACCGGCAACTCCGAAACAAGCCCTCTCCATGCTTAAGCAAGCCTCATCGGCCACAAATGTTTCCGAAAGACAATACTATTTGGGATCACAACTCACCGACAGTCCACAGAATATGCGCAAGGGCAGTGTATACAATTTGAGACCCGACGACAGTCCACAACGCAAGTCGAGTATTTATGCCATGAATGCGGGCGAGACGCTAGCACCACGACAGCAGCGTAAGGGCAGCATGTATGTGGCATCGTCAAGCAGCGGTACGGGAACTGCCCCAAATGCCGGTTCAAGTCTAATGGTACATGAACCGCTACGCAAGAATAGCATAATGGCTCCGTCCACACCCGACAGCCCGTCCATGTCCCGCAAATCGAGTGTTGTTCCCTCGAACTCCAGTGCAAAATCCTACAAAAGTCTGTCGGATTCGTCGAGTAATTTATCGACAACGGTTTCTTCATCGCTCAGCGCCACCTCGACCAGTTATGGTCTACAATTGGGACCCGGGCAAATTCACCCGAAAGGTTATCGTCTCACAATGGAACGTCATGGTGAATTGAGAATGGGCTTTAGCAAGGTTAAGGGTTACGTAGAAGTGGAGGTAAGTAATATTAATTCCATACTCAACCTCCATCTCTTAATTCTAGATACCAATGAAGCCCTCAATATCAAATTTGAAGACTCCAGCCCTTTCTCTTCACCCAGTATCAAATTTAGTACGATTTAGTTATTTTCGTACAAATATAGGACTCAATTCCAAACCACACCCATATCTCAATCTCAGATACCAACAGAGACCTCAATATCAAATTTCGGGATTTCATTTCTATTCCTTCAACCAATACCAATATTTTTACCATTAAGTACTTTTGGAACAATTATAGTTCGAACATTCACAAGCAGGTCCTCCTCTCAACCCCAGACACCAACAGTGACCTTAATATCAAATTTCAAGAATTCAGCTCTATCCCTTCACTCCAAACCAAATTAAGTACTATTTAGTACCATTTGTGCAATTACAGTACACAATTTCAAAACCAAATCCTCCATCCAAATCCCAGATACAAACAGAAAGCTTAATATCACATTTTAGGATTCCAGTCCTATGCTTTTACCCAATATCAAATTTAGTACTATTTCGTACTTTTCTCACAGTTATGGTACGCATACCAAAAACCAGCTCCTTCTTTCAACTGCAGACACCAACAGTAACATCCATATCAAATTTCAAGACTTCAGCTCAATTCCATCACCAAATATGAAATTTTGTACTATTTAGTACTTTTGGAACAATCATAGTACATATTTCCAAAACTACATCCATATCTTAACCGCAGACACCAGAAATAACATACATATCAAATTTCAGGATTTGAGCTCTATTCCTTAAACCAATACCAAATGTGGTACTGTTTAGTACTTTTCGTACAATTTTAGTTCACATTTCCAAAACTACCTCCATATCTCAATTCCAGATACCCAAAGACACCTCAATATTAAATTTGAGTATTTCAGTACCATCCCTTTACCCAATACTAAATGTAGTACCTTTTGGTACTTTTCGTACAAATAAAGGGAATATTTCCCAACCATCGACAAATCTCAAAAACAGATACCAATCTAAATATTAAATCTCAGAGTTTTATGTCTTTCCTTCTCCCAATACACAAATACAGTACCATTCAGTACTTTTCGTACAATTATACATCTTTCCGACATCAACTCCATATGTCTAGGCTACTCATGAACAGCGATCCTAACACCAATTTACAGATTTTAAGCACTATCTGTTCACCAAAATACCAAAATGTACTAAATATAGTACTATATAGTACTTTTGGCGAACTTGTTCACATTTCCAAAACCACCTCTTTGTCACAGAACTACCGCCAACAGAGACATAATTCAAAAAATTGAAATTTCCAGCTTCTTCTGTTCATCCAAAACGTAATTGTACGAAATAAAGTACCATTTAGTACAATTTTGCACAAAAATTTCAAAAAAAAACCTCTATACATCACCTCAATCTCCAAGAATTGATTCTCATATCAAATTTAAAAATATTACCACTATCCGTTCACATACCATTTAAAATAGTACCAACTTTAGTGCACTTTAGAACTTTTGGTACAATCGTTGTTAAAATTTCGAAAAATCCCTTTAGTTTGTCTATCCCACACAACATCAAAAACTCTTGCTTCAAACTTCAGATTTCCAACCCTATTATTTCCCCAAATACCAAAGTTAATACTATTAAGTACTTTTCGTACTTTTTGGTAAGTATTTCCATATCTCCCGCATGTATCAAGCAAACCCCACAAAAAGTGATATTCATACCAAATTTTAAACTTCTAACTCAATCCCTTACTCAAACATAAAATTTAGTACCATTTAGTACTTTTGAGTACGTATTTCCAAAACCACCTCCAAATCTCAACCCTACACACTAACAATGATTCTAATGCAAATTTGCAGATTTCGAACAGCATCTGTTCACGCAATATCAAATTACGTACGAAACATAGTACTATTTAGTACTTTTCATGCACTTTCACAAACCACCAACAGGACCCAAATACCAAAATTTCAAAACTCCAGCTTCATCCGTTCCCCCCAAAATCTATGTTCCAATTAAGAACCATTTAGCACAACCATTTCGCATAGTTAGTATTCATTTCCAAAACCACCTTCCTACACTGCAGCAGTAATCTTATTTACAAACTTCAGGATACCAAGGCTATAGATTTACCCAAAAGCAAATTGTTCCAAATTCAGTACCATTTGGTACACATAAGTACAAATTTACAAAACTAACTCCATACCCCAATCTCACACTCCAGTTGGAATCTTGATTCCAAATTTCAGGATGCCAGCTCCATTGGTTCGTTTAAAACCAAATTGTACTAGGTTAAGTACTATTTAGTACCCTTAAGTACATATTTTCATAACTACCAACATCATACAGTCCAATAGATGTCTTATTTTGAAATTACAGGACTCCAACTCTATCGTTTCTCACAAATCGAAATTGTGCCAAATTTCGTATCATTTAGTACACATATGTGTGTATTTCCAAAACTTCCTACATATTCCAATCCCGCACTCCGTCGGTAATCTTATTTCCAATTTTCAGAATTTAATTTCAGGATCGGTTCTCCCAAATCGAAATTGTACCAAATTTAGTACCATTTAGTACACACACGTGTGATTTTCCAAAACTTTCTACATATCCCAATCCTACACCCTGGCGGTAATCTTACTTCCAATTATTAGAATTTCAACTCTCCCGCTTCTCCCAAAATATAAATTGTACCAAATTTAGTGCCATTTAGTACACATAAGTATGAATTACCAAAACTACCTTCATTATTCAGTCTTACAATGCAATAATAATCTTAATTCGAAATTTCAGGATCTTATTTCCAAATGTCAGGATTCCAACTCTACCACTTCTCCCAAAATTAATATTGTACCAAATTTCGTACACATAAGAGCGATTTTCCAAAGCTACATACATACCCCAACCTTACAATGCAATAGTAATCTTATTTTCAAATTTCAGGACTCCAACTCTATTATTTCTCTCAAAATTTCATGTTTGTACCAAATTTGGTACAATTTAGTACGTATAAGTTCGAATTCTCAAAAACTACCTACATTCTGTAGCCTTACAGTGCAATAGTAAACTTATTTCCAAATTTCAGCATTCCAACTCTTACGGCTCTATCAAAATGTAAATTGTACCAAATTTCGTACCATTTAGTACAAATTTCACATATAAGTACGAATTTCCAATTTCCTCAGTCCCACAATGCAATAACAAAAATCTTATTTACAAATTAAATCATTTTATCTCCATCGGTTCACGCAAAACGAAATTGTACCAATTTTAGTACCATTTAGTACTTTTCGTGCACATAAGTACAAATTTCAAAAACTACATCGATATTCCAATCCTACACTCCGCAAGTAATTTTAATTTTAAATTTCAGGATTTCAGCTCCATCCGTTCCTCTATATTCAATTTCTACTAAATTTAGTACCGTTTAGTACTCTTCGTATACTTAAGTACAAACCTCTAAAATTCCCTCCTTACATCGACCCTACTCCTCAATCTTGATTCCCATCCCAAATTTCAAGTATTTAGCTCCAACCGTCCACGTGAGACAAATATAGTACATTTTAGTACTTTTCGTACACTTATAATGCGAATTTTCAAAAACCCTTTGGTACGTCCATCATGCACCCCACAAGTGACTCTCATTCCAAATTTAATAGTTCTGGCTCTACTGGCTCGTCAAATACAAATTGTGTGATATTTTGTATATTTTAGTACTTTTTGTACCATTCTACAACGAATTTACAAAAATACAGCCTTATCTGACAACTTCGGACCAAGAACTGATATTTTAAATATAACCTTTCCGAATTTTCACTACATTTCATTTCAGTTAATTTGTGCCCGAAAAATAGTACCCGTGGACTGTGAAACACCACCCGATACGTATGTGAAATGCTACATCAAGGACGGGGATCGTTTGCGGCACAAAAAGAAAACTCGAGTGGTAAGGCATTCAGCGGAACCCATTTACAAGCAGACGATTAAATATCAGGTAATTCAAACAGCCAAATTTTCAAATCAAAATCCATTTTTTAATAATTTTTATGGTTCTGCCCAACAGTGTTCGGATGTATTCGGTCGCAATATTGTCATCATGGTGTGGCAGCGTTGTGTTGGCTTCGAACACAATCAAGGCCTCGGTGGCACCGAAGTCAATCTGGATAAGCTAAATATGGACGAACATGTCAACGGCTGGTATCCGCTGTTTCCGATGCACTCATTCGGCGGTTCAGATTCGGATAATTCTCCTTGACCGATCACGCCCAATCATCAATATAATTCATGCGACAGCATCACTGGCACCGGTCTCTTCAGCAATCAAATGGCGGCAGCAACTTTGAAAGCTGTTACCACACCATTGCGATTGACAGAGGATACATCGCCGACAGAATCGGCTCCAACAAAGAAACATTTAATGGTAACCGCAACACCATCTCCAACCACAACAACAGCCGGAGCTGCAACAGCAACAATTATTGCAACAACACCAATAGAATATAAGACACCGGAAAAGACGGACATTGTCCGGGATTTGTTGGTATTTTTTAAGAAACTCTTTAAATGTAAGAATGTCAGTGTGAACAACAATAAGGAGATGCATTTCGCCAATGGCACAGCACAGCAGGGTGAATATATCTAGAGGATGCAAATATTTTGTATGTAAAACATTTTCAAAATCCCACAAAAAAATACAATTTACATAAATCTGCAAGAAATACACCAAAAAGATACATATAAACATATACATGCATATTTATATTTATATATCAATCATAGAAACATACATATTAAGAAAAAAAAATAAAAACTATAATTAAAGAAGAAATAAGTTTAGAGCATATATTTATATAATTTTTTTATCTAACCACACTGGAAGTATATTAAGTTCGATGGAGGCAGATTTTGTCAACTTTTTTTGGGAATTTCTCATTATAGCTCATCGATTATTTTGTCCAATATCTCGAAAACTATTATGTATATTTTTTTATGAAATTAAAGTTTAAAGAAAGCCTAAAAAGTTACCTGTTCAACCAAAAAAAATATATATGAGAATATCTGTTCCATTTCAACGTTACAATGTACCATTTTTTAGCTTAATCTGAGCACCTGTTGCTTTCCCCAGCAAAAATTTCCATAACGGTTTTTATACCCTCAGCCATATGGCTACAGAGGGTATATATCATTGCCTAGTCGAAATAACGGTTTTAGACCCTAGGTCCCTTTGGACCAAATCCGTTTCAGAACATTTGGAGTCGATCTAGCGATGTCTGTCCGTCCGTCTGTCTGTCTGCCAGGCTGGTGCGCACGATAACTCTCGCAGGGAGTATCCGATTTGGTCCAAACTTGATACATCGTAATATTTTTGTCAAACTTAGATCGAGTTCGGAGATGGGCAATTTTTGTCAAACTTAGATCGAGTTCGGAGATGGCCAATATCGGTCCACTCCTTCTGGTACCTCCCACACAAAATGTCGAAATTTTCAAAAAATATATTTTTTGCACAGAAAGTGAAAGGATAATCCAACTTTGCACATCCTAATATTTGCATCAGTGCTAGGTCAGGCATGAAAATGGACAATATCGATCCACTCCATCAAGTACCTCCCCCACAAATGGTCAAAATTTTGAATAATTACAACTCTCATAAAATGTGATCTAAGAGTCCGATTATCTTCAAATTTCACACATCCCAATATTTATATTAAGCCAAGGTCTGGTGTTAAGATGGAATATATCGGTCCACTCCTTCTGGTACCTCCCCCACAAAGGGTCAAAATTTTAAATAATTACAACTCTCATAAAATGTTATGAAAGAGTCCGATTGTTTTCAATTTTCACAGTTCCCAATATGTATATAAACCTAAGGTCTGATGTTAAGATGAAATATATCGGTCCATTCCTTCTGGTACCTCCCCCACAAATGATCGAGATTTTCAAAAAATTATATATTTTCTGCACAGAAGGAGAATAGATAATCCGATTTTGTTCCAACTTTGCAAAATCTAATATTTGCATCAGTGCTAGGTCAGGTGCGAAAATGGACAATATCGGTCCACTCCTTCTGGTACCTCTCCCACAAAGGGTAAAAATGTTGAATAATTACAACTCTTATAAAATGTGATGTAAGAGTCCGATTGTCTTCAAATTTCACTCATCCCAATATTTATATTAACCCAAGGTCTGGTGTTAAGATGGAATATGTCGGACCACTCCTTCTTGTACCTCCCCCACAAAAGGTCAAAATTCTCAAAAAAATATATTTTCTGCACAGAAGCAGAAAAATTAATCCAATTTTGTTCAACATTGAAAGTCCTAATATTTGCGTCAGTTCTAGGTCAGGTGCAAAAATGGATAATATCGGTCCACTCCATCTGGGACCTCCCTCACAAAGGTTAAAAATTTTAAATATCCATGAAGCTTATAAAACGCTAAATTATAGTTGGATTCCATGAAGACTTGACACATCTCAATATTTCTATCGACACAAGATCTACTATAAAGATAGGAGGGATCTTACCACGTGGCAATATTTATATCATATTTATTAAGGTCCGATACGAAGTGTACAATATTGGCCTTTTCCTTCGAAACCTATTCCATAGAGAGTCTATAATTTGAATAATCATAATAGGAGTCGAAATATATTTAAATAATCGAACATTGACTGAGGGTATACATCTGTCGGCAAAACCGACTGATGCTTTTTAACTCGTTTTTTTTTTTTTTTTTTGTTTTTTGAAAATTGTGACTAATTACAGATCAACTTATTAATCCATTACTTTTACAAAAGTATAGCGCCCTTAAATGTCGACAAATAAGTAAAACCAAAACATTGTGACATGAATTTCTACTTACTAGTAGCCAAGTTATTACTACTATTTCGAAAAAATAATGGATTGGTAGGTTGATTTGTAAATAGTTACAATTGGCTAAAATTGATTACGAAACCCATTATTTGGTAATTGATGTTTTTTTCTGGGTGATTATGTTTTACCAGATACCGAGTTTTAAAGTCATAACCTCCATTATTGTAGTCGGACGCGCATTCCGTACACAGATGTCACTCATTACCTGGTAATGAGAAAAAGCTGTTGTTCTGCTTTGTACTTTTTAAGAATAACTCATTATTTTAAAACTACTGGTAAAGCAATTGTTAGCTTATGAAGCGTTAAAAGAAGAGTGGAGAGTTAACATCGTATAAAACCCAAACTTTTTCGAGCACACACTCTCTCGAGCACACCCTCAGTCGAGCAAGTTTCACTCTCTAGTAAAAACGAGCAAATCTAAGCTCTGGCACAAATTAAAACGTATCTGTCCGTTTATTGAAATATACTTTAACTTGTGTAATGAATAGTCAAAACGTTGACCCTTTATAGCCCGAAGAGGTAAGATAATATTGTGCATTTCGAATCTGAAATAATTCTGATATACATTTTACGACATTTCTGGTTTGGATCATATAGAGATATGTACATATACTCTTTGAAAATGTTGTATTGTTGTGGGGGAGGTACCAGAAGTGGACTGACAGATACCATGCTTACATAAGATATATCTGTGGTTGATAGAAATATGGAGAAGAAAATAGCTGACTTGTATTGCATTTGATGAGAGTTTTTTTTTTTTTTTCAATATGTTAACCCATTATGGGAGAGGCAGCATGAGGAGTGGTTCGCTATGCGCCCACAATTATATTGTCTATTTTCAAACCTGACCTATGATTTTCACTTTATGAAAAATATGACCCTTCGTGAGTGAGGTAATTAAACCGTCACACGCTGCCCGAATGTTCCTCTGCGGTATTTTGGCCCATTCCCGGCGAAGCGCTTGCTTGAGTTAATCGACATTTTGGCATTTTTTAGTGTCAACATTGCTTTCCAAAATACTGCGGACACAATAGTCCAACGGATTGGTATCCGGAGATTTTGGTTGCTATTGTGCGCTGGAAATAAAGCGAGGAACCTCATTTTATAACCATTCTTGGGTGGCGCGTGCTGAGTGCGATGGTGCTGAGTCCTGTTAGAATGTCCAAGGTCTGCGTGCAAAATGTTTGAGTGCCCAAGGCTTTAATACACCCCCAGAATATTTCCGAGATAATATTCGGCATTTATTCTGATGCCTGATGATGTCGATTAATACGAGCAGAAAGCGACCATCAGCTGTTATGGCGGCCCACACCATCACAATGGCTGGCGCTTGAGTTCTGGTGACCAAGGCAAGTAAGCACGATCATTTTGTTTGTTTACAAACTGCTGGACAACGAATGTTTTCTCATCGGAGATGGAGAGAACCAAATTCGGCAGTTCACCACTTTCGGCCAAGCGAAGCAACTCTTTAGTTTTTTTTGAGTCTATTTTCAGTTTTCAATATTTGTCGAATGGAATATTGCGATATATTCAGCGGACGAGCCATTTTTCGGCCACTGCGACGCGAGTTTCGATCAAGTCGCTTCTTTACTTTTCGAACCATTTCCGCTGAAGTTGCTGTTTTAATCGAGAACCTCCATTTTCAACTACATAATGAAGAAAAACTCTCCAGAATGCAAAATTCGTGTCCGATATAGCCACCATATAACGGTACCTCCCTATATTCGGTTTTTTGTATGATTTTAGCGTCATTATTCATCGTAGTAGTTTCAAATTACGTATTTAGAGTTCGTAATGGAAGCTATAGCCTGTGACAGAAAATTGTCTGTGCTGGTCCAGGTCATCCCTATGTACGGTATTTTGATGATCAGGTCTTCGTATAGCTCCTATATAACGGTACCTCCCTATGTACGGTATTTTGATGCCGTTTATTTCAAGTTTCGAATTTGAATATGGTAATGGCTTGTGACAAACAATGCATATGTAGGTGCACGTCGTACAGGCCCTAATATAACTGCTATATTCGGTATTTTTAAAATGTTAAAAGAATTTTTGGCGAATGTTGTCTTTTTCGAAATTTTTCAAATACGTTCTAAATGGTGGAGGGTATTCAAAGTTCGGCCCGGCCGAACTTACTGCTTTTTTACTTGTTACTTATGAGGTGCGAACTGCATTTCCGATGCAAGTCAAACTCTGTACATGGTAACTTTTGTTTTACCCGAATATACGCCATGTAGGCCCACCCACACCTTCTCATACCTATCCACAAAGAGCCACAATTTTGAATAATAACTCTGATAAAATGTGATTTTCTTATCGTCTATCTAGTCTGAATAGGTAACAGATAATATCGCTACACTTCTTCCAGTAACTCCCTGACAAATGGTCAAAAACCATCTCAAAATTTCCAAAATGTTTTTATTTAAATTCCTCCAAAAAATAATAATTGGGAACAGATTAAAAAAAATACATCAAATCATCAGTGTAATATCGAGAGAGCACATTGAGTGAAATACAAAAGTGCAAAGGACAAAAAATGTGATTAGTATGCCACAAATCAATTATTGTGAAAAAAATGAAAAAAAAAAAAAAAAAGAAAACAATTAGTGAATGTATTAAACACAAAAAATGTGTTTTTTGGAGAATAAGATGAATTATTAAAATAAATTGATATAAATAAAAGATTACAGTTTGTTGTTAAGAAGAGTGTTGTTTTTCTATACCAAAATTGTTACATTTGAATGACCGTCAAGAAGAGTTAGAATAAAAAAAGGTATTTATTTATATACATTCGTACATAATACCATATACACACATACAAATATAAATAATAATACACATCGATATATAA